CCGCGTTCCTGATGGCTGCCCATGGGGTGGATGACCCCATCATGGTGCTTCCTTCTGGGCTGGAACCCGCATCCCAGAGAGCTCTGTGTCCATGCACCTAGCTGAGGACCAAAGACTGAGTTGAATACATGAATACTGCAAGCCAGAAACAGGACAGACTCTGGGAACAACTGGGCCACACCACGTACTAACTTTGGACAGGTGACCGTGTCTCTGAGGCTGTTTCTCCACCAGGGAGTGGGGGATAACGGAAGTACTGACTTCTCTCGGTGAGGCTAAAAGGAGATCATCCTTCTATCACATACCCAGGTAACTAGCACACTGTCATTACTTGTTAGCCTAACTCCCTTTCTTGACTGAGGAAGTGGCTGAGGTGCAGAGAGGGGCTGGTGTGACTCGTTCCTACAGCAAGTCAGTCAGTAGTTGAGACCGAAAAGCAGCCTCGACACTCCACTGTGGCCCATACCTTCCCTCCTTGCGCGGCCAACCATTGGGTGGGTTCCCTGGAGCGTCTTCTAGGAACCCAAGGAGCTGCGTACGTTTAAAAATAGTGAAAACTGGGACGCCTGGGTGGTGTCTGCCGGTTCAGCAGCAGGTCATGATCCCAGGATCCTGGGATTGAGTCCCATATTGCGCTCCTTGCTCAGTGGGGAGCCTGCTTCTCCCTCTGCTTGCAGCTCCCCCTGCTTGTGCTCTCTCTCTGACAAATATATAAATAATATCTTTAAAAAAAAAGTAAAAACTGGGATTAGTGAACGAAAATCAGGATATGGTATCTGCAAATCTGTCTTTAAGGATTATGCAGAAATATGAGAATAAAAATGCATAATATACAAGTTTCATTCTTTTCTTTATATATGCAAAAACCTTTAAGTAGCCACAACAAAGCTAATAATATAGTGTTATTTCAAGTTTACCTTCTCTTTCTGTGGCATTAACACCTGGATAAATTCTTCTTAGGTAGTATGAAGCAAAGGGGCTGGGGGTGCTTGTCACCCTGTTCAACAGTCTCCAAGGAAAGCAGAAACGTTGAAAAAAGGCAGTTGTAACTTGGAGCAAAAATTGACCTAATTATATGTCATGTTTTTAAAGGCGAGCCCTTCAATACGCCAATTGTGATTTTTTTTAATCGAGCAAATTGTATTATTCTTGCAACATTTCTTCATCTCTAGCTACAAACCCATAGTCATTCTTTCCCCCGTTTAAATTATATTAATCAAAATAAAAGAACAGGCACTGACGTTTGGTTTGTCCCTCAATGCTTTTTATGACTCTTGACAAAGTAAAATAATCTTAGAAAGTTTTTGATCTTTTTTTCCCCTTAAGAACACTGTTAATGATCCTTCCCACTAAATACAGAACATATATCATAAAGAAGGAATGCTGATTTTTATTGTATCTACTACTTGCTAGGTTTCACATCTGCTGGCTCATTTAATCTTCAAAGCTACATCATGAGATAGGTTTCCACACGCCCATCTTGTCAGAGGCAAGGAGACGGAGCTTCTGCGAGGTGAAGCGCTTTACTGTGGGTTTGAGGAAGAAAGCTGTCGACTGGCATTCTAAGTGTGTTTGTCTTCCGAGAGCGCAAAAGCAGCACCGTGACCAAGAGTGTGGACCAGAGCCAGGAGCCCGCTTTACTCCACGCCTGCTACTTCCCAGCTCTGTTAACTTGGGGCAAAGTGTGGAATCCAAGATGCTATTTTCATTTGTGTGAAAGAGGCAGCATTGTAATAATCCCTCCCTGACGGGTAGGTTCTCAGAATGGTTCTTTCTTAGCCACGGCGGGCTGGCTCTCAGTCCTGGGCCTGGCTCAGGCCCCCCGCAGGACCCACATCCCACCCGATTTCCAGCAAGCGTTCCTCCATTGTTGCTGGCCATACAAACACTCTATCGCCCTTCTTCCTTCTCAACTCAAACACTGAGCAGGGCTACTAGCAAGAAAGGAGACAGAAAGAGAAAGACAAGAGAGAACCCGTAATTGGCCACAGCAGCTCTGACTCCTAGGAGAGACACATACTTCCTTCTTGGAATAGTCTTTTATTTAGCAAAACCCGGTGATGTGGCACTGAGTCACTGAAGAGCCAGCCCCAGGCAAACGGAACCAAGTTGTTCTGCGCGATAAAGTTAAGAATGCTAGTTTTTCAAGGAGTAGCTACATGAAGGAAAGAAGGGTCTGTGAGGGAGGGGGGAGCCCAGAAAGATGAGGTGATGGGCTTAGTGGGGAGTGGAGGGATGACTAAGAGATGTTTTTCTTTTTTTTCTTTTTTTTTCAAGATTTTATTTATTTATTTGACAGAGAGAGACACAGCGAGAGAGGGAACACAAGCAGGGGGAGTGGGAGAGGGAGAAGCAGGCTTCCCGCAGAGCAGGGAGCCCGATGTGGGACTCGATCCCAAGACCCTGGGATCATGATCTGAGCTGAAGGCAGTCGCTTAACCAACTGAGCCACCCAGACGCCCCGAGATGTTTTTCAAAACAAGTGTCTAAGATCCCACTTTAAGGCATTAGTCTGAATGTTAATCCACAAACCTCCTCAAACCCTCACGCTTCACTCCAAACAGGCCCCCAAAGTCTGTCACCTGCAGCCCTGTGGCGAAGGCATCCGAGCGGCGCCCAGTGTGAGGTGGAGTGATGGGTATGGAACAAGAATGAGAGGCATGGGAGAGCAACCAGAAACCAAACTAAATCAGTAGACGCTGTAGTTCTGAAGTAAGGGGAGGTGATGGGGAGAAGTGGGACCTCACCGAAGCCTCTGGAGAGACAGTGAAGGGTGATGTGGAGGTGGCGGGAGTCGGACTAAATTAAATCTTGTCTAAAAGGATAGAGTTCCCCGACTGGCGTACAGATTACAGCAAATGCAGGGGATTTCATGATGAACTGGACAGAATTACCAAATTACGAGCAGAGTCTATTATTTTCCTACAGGATGAACTAAATGTGTGTGTGCCTTCGAAGATGAAGGTTTACTGTGGCTGTCCATGAGCCTCAAGGGTTAGAGGATCAGCAGAAATGAGACGTTCAGCTATTTAACCCCGTACAATCCAACCAAACAGGCAGTGAAGTGGACATGGCTTCTTGGTGTCCTTGTTTGGTAGGTGATGAGGCAAGTGTTGGGGGGAGGTACCCCCAACTGTTGCTCAGCTCAGAGCAACACCAGCCAAGGTCTCTAGATTCCAGCTTTTTCGGCCCTCCAAGCCCAGAGGCCCAGGTAATCAGCACCTCAACCAATGAACCTGCTGTGTAAGTACCACATCAACTGGATCAGGTTCCAAAGCTGAGTTTGTGCAAAGAGCTCTTCCACATTGAAATGTTCAGTTTAATAGTTTCAAGGGCTATTGATTTTTTACCTCAAAACTATGAATGGCCATTACGGTGAAGTATTTCTGAGAGCATTTTCTTGGAAAATACCTCACTTAAATTTGTAAATGGTGTTTGCCATAGGAGGTTCCCTTGCCAACACTGGGAGCATTCACTGACAATGACTTCACTGGACCAGTTCACGTTAACTCATCTGGTATAAAAAGATGAGGAAGAATCTTTTAGAATTAATATACCTCTAAAGGTATTTCCCCTTCTTAAATAAAGTTGTTTTGTGAGCAAAATACAATGACACGAACAAAGCAACTTTAAAACACAATAAGAATCAGGGCAAGGTGGTGACAGTAACATGGTTTTCCAGTCTCCTCAAATTACAAAAACTAGCAGAGTAACTGGGAGAGAAAAAGGGAAAAAGTATATAAAATGGAAACATAAAAAAAAATTAGTAGAAGAAAAAGATCAAAAGGATTTAAGAGACAGTGATGGATATGGAAGAGAGCCAAAGAATCCAACATATGCATAAGAGACCCTCCTTCCCCCCTTCCCCCTGCAACAAAAGGAAAGAAAGTAAAAGTAAGGCTGTAGAGAGGAACAAATAAAAGCAACTATTAAAGAAAAACTTTCCTGAAAACAAACAAACACACTGACTTGAACCTGTGCGTTTAAAGGGGACATGTTGTGCCTGGACCAGAACAGTCAACTCCAAGACATAGTCTACTAAAATTATTTTGTGTTTGTCTTCCGAGTGTGCAAAAGCAGCACCGTGACCAAGAGTGTGGAGCGTCTTCTAGGAACCCAAGGAGCTGCGTACGTTTAAAAATAGTGAAAAGTATTTTCACAAAAGACTTTACTGAATAGAAATCCTTTTGGCATAAGGTAAAATGACTAAGTAACTTACAAGGTATTACACCTTCACAGAATACTTTAACGCTAAAACACAATGGAAGAAATGAAGTAACATAGTACAGATACCCAAGAAAGAAAATGGAAGCCAACTTTTTTTTTTCTAGTTTGGCCAAAGTGACCTTCAAGTGTAAAGGCTACAAACTGTGATGAAGTTGAGGTAATCAGGGAATAATGCTCCTGTGTGCCCTTCCTGAGTAATATACTAACCAATATGCTTCAGACAATCAAGAAACGCTTAGAGAAGCTTTTCCTAAGAACTACCGATGAGCACTGAATATATTTAACTGTAGAATGAAGAGTAGTGGGCCTAGGGTGAAAAATACTTTGTACTTGTCATACCCTCTGATAACGAAGATGTAATTCAGGTATCAAAAAGGGACAGAGAAGGGAAAAATTATATAGAAAGTAAGCTTGCTGGTTGCCTTAAAGGTTTCATTTAGCACCAAACAGATACCACATTAAATACTTTGGGGAGAAGGAGTAGAGGGGAAAGAAGAGGTTACTAATTTCAATATTGTTCATAGTAAGAGATTAAAAAAAGACCTACACCATCTAACGTGGTAGCCACCAGCTATATGTGGCTATTTAAATGTAAGTTAATTGACATTAAATGAAATCTTGAATTTGGTTTCTCAATTAGAGTAGCCACAATTCACATTTCATTTCATATGCAGCTAGTAGCTTCCACACTGGAGAACACAAATGAAGAACATGTTCATCATTATAGAAAGTTCTTTGGACATTGTTACAACTGATAGCTTTTTTTTTTTTTTTTTAATCTGGAATGCTTCAGGAATTTACGTGTCATCCTTGTGCAGGGGCCATGCTAATCTCTGTATTGTTTCAATTTTAGTATATGTGCTGCCAAAGCGAGCATAACCAATAGCATTTTTAAAAGGAGTAAGGATACCACCCTGAGATATCAGTGTAAAGGTAACCATGGAAACAAAACATCTGATCTATGGTATTTGGTTATGGCAGCCTAAGCAGATACAGATAGGGATTCTCTACATATTGACCTGCAGATTCAACACAATCACTTATCAAATCTCCTTGACTTCACTTCAGAAACTGACAAGCTGATCCTGAAATTCATATGCAAGTTCAAGGGGCCCAGAATAATGAAAACAATCTTGAAAAAGAACAAGGTTGGAGGACTCACACTTCTCAATTTCAAAAAAAAAATTTTTTAAAGATCTTATTTATTTGACAGACAGAGACACAGCGAGAGTAGGAACACAAGCGGGGGGAGTGGGAGAGGGAGAAGCAGGCTTCCCACAGAGCAGGAAGCCCAACGTGGGGCTCGATCCCAGGACCCTGGGATCATGACCTGAGCCGAAGGCAGACACCTAACTGACTGAGCCACCCCGGCACCCCTCAATTTCAAAATTTATCACAAAGATCTAGTAATCAAGACAGTATAGTATTGACATAAGGACAGATGTATATTTATCAATGGAAGAGAACTGAGAATCTAAAAATTAACCCTGACTTTTACAGTCCACTGACTTTTGACAAGAGTGCCAAGACATTCAATGGGGGGAAAAACAGTCTTTCCAACAAATGACACTGAGGCAACTAGCTGTTCACATGGATCCCTACCTCATACCATACATAAAAATTAACCCAAAATGGACCACAGACTTTAATGTAAGAGTTTAAACCATAAAACTCTTAGAAGAAAATATAGAGCAAACATTCATGACCTTGGGTTAGGCAAAGCTTTCTTAGATATAATATTAAAAACACAAGTGATAAAAGAAAAAATAAATTAGAATTCATCAAAATTAAAAAGTTTTGTGTTTCAAAGGATACCATCAAACAAGAGAGAAGACAACACACAGATTAGGAGAAAATATTTGTAAATTACATTTGATAAGGGAGTTGAATCCAAATATATAAAGAATTCTTATAACTCAGTAATAAAAAAATAACCCCATTTAAAAAAATGAGCAATAAATAAATCATGGAGATGTACAGCATGGTAGCTATAGTTAATAATACTGTATTGCATATTTGAAAGTTGCTATGAAAATAATCTTAAAAATTCTCATCATAAAAAAAATTTCATAACTGTGTATGGTGATGGATGATAACTAGACTTATTGTGGTAATCATCTGGCAATATATACAAATATCCTATCATTATGTCATACACCTGAAATATAATGTTACACATCAATTATACCTCAATTAAAATAATAGGCAATTGATCTTAACAGGCATTTCTCCAAAGAAGATACACAAATGGCAGTACATGAGAATGTACAGACATCCTTAGTCATCAGGGAAGTGCAAATCAACACCACAGTGAGATACCATTTTACACCAAGTGGCTAGAACAAAAAAGCCACACAATAAGTGTTGACAAGGATGTGGAGAAATTGGAACTCTCACACACTGCTCTTGGGAATGCGCGGCTACTTTTGGAAAACAGTCTGGTGATCCCTCAAAAAGTCAAAAACAGGTTACCATATGACCCAGTAATTCCACTCCCAAGTACATAACCAAGAGAAATAAAAACATACGTCCACCCAAAAACTTATACGTGAATGTTCGTAGCAGCATTATTTATAAGAGGCAAAAAGCAGAAATAACCAAATGTCCATGAACTTATAAAATGTGGCATATTCATACAATAGAGTATTATTCAGTCATAAAACAGAATGAGATACTGATACATGCTAGAATACGTATGAACTTAGAAAATACTATGCTAAAGAATCCAGTCCGTTTCTATGAAATATCCAGAAGGCGCACAGTCTACAGAGATGGAAAGGAGATTAGTGATTGTCTGGTGCTAAGAAGTTTGGGGGCATTATGGAAGAACCGCTAGTAGTTGTGCGGTATCTTTTTGAGATAATGAAAATGTTCTAAATTTAATCATGGTGATGGTACAACTCTATGAACATGCAAAAAATTGAATTGCACACTTTAAGTATGTGAATTGCATGGTATGTCGATTATATTTAAATAAAACTGCTATATACCTATATAGAAATTTTAAAAAGGAAATAAACACCCAATTAAAATAGCTAGAAAAAGGGAAAAGGAAAACAAAAAGTACAGAATGAAAGATAAAAACAGACATCAATGAGATAGAAAACCAAAAAAAAAAAAAAATAGAATAAATGAATCAAAAAGTTGGTTCTTTGGGAAATAAAATAGACGAACTTGGGGTGCCTGGGTGGCTCGGTCAGTTAAGCGTCTGCCTTCGGCTCAGGTCATGATCCCAGAGTCCCAGGATCGAGTCCCTCATCAGGCTCCCTGCTCAATGGGGAGTCTGCTTCTCCCTCGACCTTCCCCCATCTCGTGCTCTCTCTCAAATAAATAAATACAATCTTTAAAATAGACAAACTTAATTTTATGAAGTGGGATAAAACACAAAACAAGGCAAAATAAGAAATGACAAGGGGCAATAATAACCCAGAGAGAATATGTAAAGTCATGAGACTATTTTGAATAACTATGACAATAAAATATAAAACCTAGAGGAAATTCATGCTTTCCTAGGAAAATTGATTTAACTTAAATTGACCCCAGTAGAGAGAGAAAACTTAAACAGACCAATTTTCACAGAAATAGAAAATTGTACAAGTGCTCTTTCTAAAGAGGGACGAGGCTTGAATGGGTTCATAAAGGAATTCTACCAACCTTAAAAAAAAAATTCTAATGTAACTTACACTATTACAGGATGTAACACAAGAAAAGTCTCCAAATTATTTTTATAAACTGAATATAACTTTGATGCCAAAACTTAACAAAAACTGAGGGAGGGGGGAGAAGAAAACTCCAGATCACTTCCACTACAATGCAAAAATGTTAAATAAAATATCAGCAAAGAGATCCACCATCATACCTTATACATCATGACCACATGGGGTTTATTCCAGGAATGCAAGAAAGAGTCAATAACCAATATTAACATGGTATTATTAGAGTTCAAGGAAAGTATCATACGATCATCTCCTTAGATATGGAAAAGGCATGTTAACAAAACCCAATCCCCATTCAAGTTAAAATTCAAAAAAAGAAATTGAAAGATATTTAACATGATAAAATACAAATATTTCAGCTCCAAAGCCAGGCTCATGCTTAATGGGGAAACTCTAGAAGCTCTCTTGATAAAATTAATAAAAGAATGCCCAGCACCTCCACTATTTACCATAGTGCTGCAATATTCGACAAGAGAAAGGAGTTCTAACCAAGAATTAGAAAGGAAGAGGTAAGGGGCACCTGGATGGCTCAGTAGTTAAGCGTCTGCCTTTGGCTCAGGTCATGGTCCCAGGGTCCTGGGATTGAGCCCCGCATCGGGCTCCCTGCTCAGCAGGAAGCCTGCTTCTCCCTCTGCTTGTTGCTTCCCCTACTTGTGCTCTCTCTGTCAAATAAATAAATAAAATCTTAAAAAAAAAAAAAAAAAAGGAAGAGGTAATAATATCTCTCTTTGTAGATATTATCATTATACACCTGGAATACTCAAAGACTAAATTAAAACTACTGTAAATAATGAGATAATTTAGTATATAGCGGATTATAAAATCGACATACAGGAAACAGTAATAGGCATTTTATACACACACGAGTACAGATACAACCCTTCAGGCAACGTCCCGTTAAAGATGACAAAAAGGAGAGACACCCTTACAATAATAAACAAAAAGCCCGAGAATAGCTTTCAACAAGAATGGGCCAAACCTTTATGATTGAAACTGTAAAGCATTCTGAAAGACACAATGTAGACTTAAATAAAAAGCAAGACAGGGACGCCTGGGTGGCTCAGTCAGTTAAGCGTCTGCCTTCAGCTCAGGTCATGATCCCAGGCTCCTGGGATCGAGTCCCGCATCGGGGTCCCTGCTCCGCGGGGAGCCTGCTCCTCCCTCTGCCTCTGCCTCTCTCTATCTCTCATGAATAAATAAATAAAATCTTAAAAAAAAAAAAAAGCAAGACAATGTTCTCGGATAGGATGACTGCGCATCGTAAACATGCCCAAGGTGCAGAAAGGACAGGTTGATGGGGGGGGGGGGGACTCCAGGATGGATGGGAGGCTGACACCACCAGAGCCCACAGATCACTCTCACCGCCACTCAGAGTCGGGTAACCTGACGTGGGTGCTTCCCGATCCGATGCCCTGGGCGGTATATACGGCCCCACCTATGGAAGATTTATACCCAAAGAATTAAAGCAGAGTCTAATCAATTTAATGGCAGGTTTACAGGAAATAGGAAGAGGAGAAGCATAGAAAGGATACTCTGGGAGGCCATGAACGAAATCCAAAAGGTCTACAGGACAATCTACCTGCATAGATTACAAGAGACATGAGACACGTCACCACCCGCTGTCTGTGGAAAGACACTGGAGATCAGTGAGGACATCTGAAACCAGACTGGGTACGAGAGGGCATTAAGAAATTACAGTTAAGGGGCGCCTGGGTGGCTCAGATGGTTAAGCGTCTGCCTTCGGCTCAGGTCATGATCCTGGGGTCCTGGGATCGAGTCCCGCATCGGGCTCCCTGCTCGGCAGGGAGCCTGCTTCTCCCTCTGCCTCTGCCTCTCTCTCTCTCTCTCTCTCTCTGACTCTCATGAATAAATAAATAAAACATTAAAAAAAAAAAAGACATTACAGTTAATTTTGTCAGGTGTGATAACGGCATGGTGGCTATCAGGAATGAAAGTCTCGTCTGTAATACGTAAGAAAATGCTTGTGGGTGAGATTCTCAAGTACTTAAAATACTTCAGCAGAACAAACAAAATGGATCCCCATTCTGTATGGGGGGACAGGAAGCAGGATGGGCATCTGCGGCTGACACCAACAGACGTTTGTGCCCTGGGTTCATCCGTTAGCTTCAGGAATGTTGTTCCTTTGACTGCACCCCCTCTCCTCCCCCGTTCTGCCTCATCAGTTTGTCCCCTTCTGTGCACATACCCAGGCTCGTTACTCAACCCAGGAAGCCAGGCTTCTCCGAGCCCCCCTAACAAAGCTCAGAGCGAGGTCATCCCTCTTTCCTCCCCTCCTCTTGGCACCCACCTGTCACAGCACTGGAACTTTCCCTGATGACATCACCGTCCATCTCCAGGTGACCAGATCCCAACGTGGGTCACTCACTCCTCTTTACTCAGCCCCCAACAGCATGTGTTCCTCGGTCCCCTTCTTAAAACACGTTCTTCTCTTGCTTCCAAAGACACCACCACCTCTGCCTAAGTGACCTCAGTCAGGCCCTGGCTTTAATGATCATGTGTATTTTTTTAATGCCTCCTACATTTATCGTTTCAGTCCGGACCTGTGTTCTGGACCCCTGTTCAATCAACAGCCCATCAACACGCCGGAATCAGAGGCCTCTGGAACTCAACACCACCCTAAACCCGAACTCTGCTACTTCCCCCTTTGCCCAAGTCTTGTCCCCAACTCAAGTGGCGGCATCACCATCCACCCAGCTGTTTCAGCCGAAGCCCAAAGTCACTCTTGCCATGGAACACGGAGATTCTGCATTGTATTTACAGTTAATTCATTAGGGCCACTTACTCTTATAAAATGGCCTTTTAATGAGCAGAAATACTATTGCCGTTTCTAATTTCCACAGCAAATTAAATGTGCACCGTGTGCCATTTCCTCTCCCTGGGACTCTCTTCCCTGCTTTAAGAATCTAGCTCTCTCTCATTTTCAAGGTCCAATCTCAGAGGCCACCTCTAAAGATGATTCGGAATTTCTTCCCCATCCGACCTAACTCACCAGCAGATTACCCTGTTGTATCTCCTCTGTAGGACTGTGCACCCCAAGCTGCTCGTTGGTCTTTTTCCAAAACAAGAGCTGCGTGAGAGCAGGGCCTGGGTTCTGGTCACTGCTGTATCTGGAGCCCCCACCAGAGTTCACAGTGCCAGTCTGACGTTTCCCAAACAAGCATTTGGAACAAGAACAGTCCGTCTGCTTGGGCTGCTGTAACAAAATACCAGACACTGGGTGGCTTAAACAACACACATTTATTTCTCAAGGTTCTAGAGGCTGGGAAGTCCAACATCAAGGTGCCGGTAGACTGGGCGTCTGGTGAGGACCTTCTTCCTGGCCTGTAGACAGCTGTCTTCTGTGTCCTCACTTGGCCTTGCCTTTCTGCATCTTCCTCTTATCAGGGTGCTAATCCCATCACGGGGTCCCACCCTCATGACCCCAGCTAACTGTAACCACTTCCCAAAGGCTCCACCCGGAGCCTGGAGGTTAGGGCATCAACATATGAATGTGGGGGGACACAGTCAGCCCAAAACATGAACGTTCTTCTTCCTGGGCCAGTTCCTAAAATGAGGCAACTGGGTGATCTCTGACATTCTTCCTGCTCTGACGTCCTGATGCTCAGTCCCTACCAAGAGGGGTCTGTCTAGGAAGAGCTCCCACACACCAAACTCTTACACTGGCAAGCCCTGTGCAAGGCAATGGGGTTAAAATCACAAGAGGGGCCCCAGGTCTATCTGTCCAGATAAGACTGGGATCAGGGAATATAAAATAGGACAAGCGGTACTTTTCTTAGAGAATTCTCTTATTAGATACTTAACAAAATACATATCATTCCCCCCACATCTCTCTGTGATGAGGAAGCTACAGACCATGGTAACAACAAGGGGCGAGGACCGGCACGTCACACAGGATGGATCACTTCTCCTGGAAGGCATCCCTTGGTAGTACCTGAGGCCCTGCTTACCTCCTCAGGAAGAGGGGGGCAGGGCATGGGGTGGGCTGGGCTGTGACTGCTGGGGACAGTTTCAGGTGAGGAGAGGGACTCCTGCTGACACTGGAACTAGGCACGTAAGGACAGTGCTTGGTGAGTGCCCCCACAGGGAGGGACCACACAGAGGGACCCTGAACATGAGGAGTTGCTGACAAAGACTTTCTGGGGTCATGGACTCCAAGGGTTCTCAGATCATGCCTCCAAGAACACTAGGGTTCTGAGCATTTGGATTACATGCAAGCAAAAAAAGGAAGGGAGGGAGGGAGGGAGGGAGGGAGGGAGGGAGAGGGGAAAAATAGATTTCCAGCCTTCTCACCTAAGTAAAACAAATACACTACATTCATGAGTATTCTTTCCCTTTCCAAATTTCTAATTTGGTGACTGACTACCTGTTCTTGCTTCTCTCCAGGAATCCAGGTCACGGACAGAAGCTGGTTCAAGCACAAATGTAGATAACTGTTTTACATTTAATCAACATTGCAAAGTGTTCACACTACATACAACTTCATAACACCAAGGTGTGTGGGCACCGTTAAAAAGAAGAGGCCCCTTCGACCTCTGTCCCCCTACACATGGGCCACCCAAGGGTGTCCGCAGTGCTCGCCGGCTCGGCCTCCCGCTAGGTTGTGAGCCGTGGCTCGTGGCCTAGCGGGCTCCTTGGTCCTGCACGCAGATCTGGGCTCCTCCCAGGCCTTCCCTCGAACTGTACCAGAGCCTGCCTGCGCAGCAGGGGCTTTTATAGGCACGGTCAAGTGCTGACATGCACCAAGTGCAATGGCTGGTCCCGGGGCTCTAAGGCCTGGCCCTGTCTCAAGTGAGTGGGCCCCATTCCCTTGCGGCCAGAGGCGCACGGAACTGAGGGAACAGAGTGAGAAGCAGGCACGGGAGGCCACGGCAGAGAGAGGCCAAACGCCATCAGCGGACGGAGCCACCCGGACGGCAGCTAGAGCTGGGGCAGCTGGGGGAAGCCGCACAAACCTGCCTCCTCTCCAGTCCCAATCTGCCAGGGTGGGGGGGGCCGAGAGGGCTGCAGGCAAGCCCCGCAGGCCCCGGGGAGGGCTCATCCTCTGCCCCTTGCTCCCTCCCGGACTGGGAAGTGGCAGAACAGAACACGCAGGGCCGGGAAATGAAGGTGAACGAAGGCCAGCAGCACTTGGACTCTGGGGGCAGGAGGAGACAGGAGCTGCGGGACCTGGGCCCAGAGGCCAAGAGAAGGACAAGAGAAGACAGAGTCAAAGGCAAAGGGAAGGACGTGGCAGAGGCGTGGGGTGGGGTGGAGGGCGGGCAGGAGCAGAGCTGCTGGGGTGAGCTGCACGGGGAGCTTGGGGGTCACTGCGGGGCCCCCCCCGAGCTGAGGCCTTGCGTCTGAGCCAGGGCAGATTACGAATAGAGCGAGCGGCCCGGGGTCAGAACACCAGGGTTTGGAACCTGCCCAGTCACTGTGCTTCCTCAAAGCTCATTTTTGTAACCTAGGAAATGAAATCATTCCTAGCTCAGTCGATGTGATGATCGAGCAGCAGTGCCCTAAACCGCGAGGCACTGTACAGATGTGCGTCCCTACTACGAAGGGGGCTCCCCTCAAAATTACTAGCCCCCAAGGTGCTAAAGGGGAGAGCCTGGATGCCCAGACCCGGAGACCCTCAGAGGGCAGTACCATTGGGGGTGGGAGTCAGCACTGCCTTCAGTGGGGGGAGGGTGTTCTTTCTTTCTGCCCCGGTCACTCTGGACTGACAGGTGCTGGCCCCGAAGGTACTCACCTGGTCACTCATCTTCCAGGTCCGGCAGCTGCTCAAGGAGCATGTCCTCCTTGCCACTGAACTGCACGAGAGAAGGGGGTGAGAGGCCGGGCCGGGCAACTCTTCCTTCTGTCCTTCTATCCCCACCCCGGGCCTTCCAGGAGCTTCCAGGAAGCTGCCTGGGGGCGGGGGATTCTAGGAGCCCCTCCTCCCACCAGCCTTCACCCCCTGGCTGCCCAGCAGAGAGGCCCCCCTGGACTGAGGGGGCTTCTGTTAGACCTCACAGAGTGGCCCAGGCAGTCACTTCTGACCTCTCTCTGATCCAGTCCTTTAAGAACCTGCAGTGTAAACTCCTTCCCTTGTTTAGCTTTTGGTGCAGAGATGGGGGAACGGATACAGCTCTGAGGCCAGACGTGGGGGGCGGAGGGGCAGGGCCACCCCAGATGACCCGATGGCCCCTGGGAGAAGGACACACTTGCCTCGATGTGGTACACTATGCGCCAGAAACTCGAGTCTGAGCCTCGGTATCTTCTTCCAGGGTAGAGCTGCCACATGGAAGGGAGCGGGCATGGGGCTAGTAGGCTGGGGCACACAGCCTCCCCCAGGGACACATCCTCCTGACGCATGAGTACCTGGAGGCTACTCTCCGTCTGAAGGGAAGGGAAGACCAGGGCACGCCTTCAGGGCCCGGGCTCCCCAGCACGCAAATCCCCAGAGTCCTGCCCACCCCGCTGGCAGCCCGGCCGGCATCTGAGATGCTGGTGATCACTGTTCCCAGCAACGTCCCCCCTTATGCCATGCACGCCCCTCTCAGGGACGCTGGCGAGGCCAGGATGACTGGCACTCACAGGTGTCTAGACACCCAGACAGGGCCACACGGAGCCCGCTGCTTCCTGACAGACTTAAAGCTTGTCCCTGAGCTTCCTTAACTGCAGTGTGGTGCTGATGTCAGCTCCATGGGGTTTTATTTTATTTTATTTATTATTTATTTAACTTTTTCTTTTAAAGTAATCTCTATACCCAACGTGGGGCTTAAGCCCACAACCCCAAGATCAAGAGTCGCACGCTCCACCGATGGAGCCAGCCAGGCGCCCCCGTAAAGCCCCACTGAAACAGGTGAGAGAATACTTTTCCCCACCTCCACCACCACCCCTCTCCTGCAATAAGCTAACTTGCCACCTTATGGTCATATGCCTCCCAATCAGCTCCCCGCACAGCAGCCGGGGTGCATGTCTAAAACTCTCCAGTGGCTTTTCACAGCAGGTAGAAGGAACTGCAATCTTAACCACGGTCCACAGACCCACTAATGTGGGCCCCTGCCTCCCTCATCTCCCATTCTGTCCTTCACCCTCCACCCTGTGCCGGCCACAAGGGCCTCCTCGATATTTCGGGGACATGTCACATTCCCAGTCATCTCTTGCATTTGTGGTCCTCTGCCTGGAACATTCTCCCTTAGATCTACACAGGGCTCACACCCTTCTTCGAGACAGGTCTCTGCACAAATATAGGTCTACAGGGACACATTTCAGCAAAATCCAACTCTCTGAAATACACATGAAGCACGCATGTCTACAAGGGAGCTTCACAAAGGTCTGCATGACAGGCAAGTGCAAGTTAATACTCTTGAGGGGTCTTGCCTGTAGACCTTGCCCCACTCGTTACTGCCTCTCATCCTGCACAGCAGCCTCAATTATTTTGATGTCCTGCCCCTCCCCACCCTGCAGTGCCAGCTTCAGAGTAGCAGGATTTTATCAAATTCACTGCAAACCCTCACAGCCTAGAATTGTGCTTGGCATATAAACTAGGCCCTCATGTTGGTTCAATAACTACTTTCCAAAGCGGAAATCATTCTTTAAATTTTCCATCCATGAAATAAACTGGAATTGTTAAAAAATAATTCAGATCATCCTGCAAGATGTAAGTGGAAATCACCATTCTTGCTGTGTTCGTATAGGTTTTCTATATCCTTCAACCACTTTTGGTCTGCTTGTTCCTTTTTTTTATTAAGTCAACCTTTACATATTAAGAATACCAGTCCTTTCCATTACAAGGGGGTGAATCCTGCCCCACGGTCCGCTAGTGGGTTATGCTTTGAGCATAACTTATAATAATGATTATGTGAAATACACTGCTTTGTGGTTTTGGTGTCATGTTTAAGAAGATATTCGCCAACCAGAGTTTTTAAAAAAGATATTCACATAAATTCTCTTCAAATACCCGTCTTAAAAAAAGTAAATATTTGATGTTTAAAAGTACATACATGTGTACTTAAAGAAGAAATTAAATGCCAATAAACACGGTGGCTAAGAGCCTGGAATGTCAAGCCTATCACCTACTAGCAGGACTACTCTGGGCAGGTTTATAGGTTGTGACTCAGTTTTCTCATCTGTAAAACAGGGACACAGTCACTACCGTATAACTTTTTGCTGTTTGCTGTTCTATAACGTAACCGTCCTGCTAGGACATACTTTAATTTTGCTCTTAGTCCGGCTCTTACACCACTGCGTTCCTGCTGAAGTGCGCTCCCCCGAGGCGCCCCGACACCCCCGAAGTCCGGGGCAGGGCCCCCCACGTGGCGGCCGCGGACGCCCACGCCGCCCGCCCGGCCCGCCCCAAGGCCGCTGTACCTCGATGGTTATGGGCAGCCAGGTGCGCTGGTTCTCGTCCACGTACACGGACCTCTCCCAGATCCACAGGTGGTCTGGGTGCAAGGCTGCGTGCGCCCTGAAGAACGGGAGCTCGCCCATGGCGCCCCGGGCGACTCAGGAGCCGCCGCTGGAGCCTCTCGAACTGACTCGCTGGTGCGCGGGCCGCAGGACCCCGGCGCTTTATAGCGGGACGCGCGCGGGCGCCCCCCAGCGGCGGGGCGGGAGGAGGGCGGGAGGAGGGCGGGCGCGAGGCAGGATCCGCTCTGGAGCTGGTCTTGCTCCGGGGGACCCTGGCCGCGTTTAGGAGAGCAGCCCCAGCCCCATAGACTCGTGGCTTTTTCCAGCTCCAGCTCCCACTCCCCACTGCTGGGGAGGGACCCCTGTCTGTGGCCTTTGGCCTTTCCTCTGTCAGGAGGTGCCAGCGTCCTCCACTCCCTGGGACGCCCAGACCCCCACTGTCCGAGTCAGCCACTGTGTGTGACTGGTCAAGTCACACCCCAGACCGGGACACCAGGCCTCTGCTGGGAACTCACAGTCGATGCCCGGCAACCCAGAGCCAGGACCCCCTCCTCGTCTCCTGGGATCAGAAGAGAACCATGCGAGCCTGAGCCAAGCCCGGACTTTCCCAGGTTCACGGCATCACCTTCAGCTTGTGCATGGGGTGTGAGAATCAATTTCCTTGGCCAAGTGCAACTCTTGAAGCCCCAGTCCCCCCCCCCCCACACACACATTTTCCACGGCTTTGATGATGGTGTGGTCATCTAATGGCTATTGTGAAACACGGTGGTGAAGAAACATGGGTTTTTCCTTTTACGGGCTTTGAATTCATTGGTGAACACATCGTTCAAAATGAATGCTTGAAAAGAATCCCTTCTCTCCACTCCAAGATCAATGGAATTGAAAAGTCCCTGGGTTATATGATCAAACCCACTCTCTGTAAATTACAGCAAATAAGGAAAACAATTTCACTTCATTTTGCAGTACACCACATGCCCATTAAGGCAATTAAGAAAATAAAGTACAAGGAGAAACATGTAAGCTGAGCTCCGGCCTCGTTGCTCAAACATCACCATTGGCAGCAGTTTGGTGCTTCATCTTCTAGCTCTTTCCTGTCTCTCTGACCAGGCGCTAAGAAAATAACTTTGGGATCTTTTGCAATATCACAAAAGTGAGAATGAGCTTAACCCGGATCCCCTGATAGCAAAGGTATGTATTTGCTTCTCTGCGGATCCAGACAACCTAATTCCCAAGAAAGTGCTGAGGTGGCCTACGATAATAGAGATGTAATTGGATTTACCGGGAACACAAAATAGAAGACAAAAGCCAAAGCCGAGTGGGGAGTGGAGGAGGCAGACATGAGCCCAGCAAACCTCCTTGCCAGGGCAGCCCCTGGCATTCAGGCTGATTTCCCTGTGGATGGTTCTTAATTCCAGACCCAGATAGCCACTGGGAGCAAGATAATATGCTAATATGTCTGCTGGGGAAGTCTCAGCCCAGTCCTGAGCCTTGAGGTAAAAAATGATGACAAATCCAGCTTAAACAGTGTGGCAAGGGAAGGGGGCACCTACAAGCCAGGGTGGCCACTGCCCAGCCGTGTCGATGGCTCCAGGACCCAGAATGCCACTGAAATGCCAATTTCATTACTACTCCTTCTGCTTTTCGAAGAGGTCCCAAAAAGAATAAATAATGGAGGGCGCCTGGGTGGCTCAGTTGGTTGGGCGACTGCCTTCGGCTCAGGTCATGATCCTGGAGTCCCGGGATCGAGTCCCGCATCAGGCTCCCTGCTCAGCAGGGAGTCTGCTTCTCCCTCTGACCCTCCTCCCTCTCATGCTCTCTGTCTCTCATTCTCGCTCTCTCAAATAAATAAATAAAATCTTAAAAAAAAAAAAAAGAATAAATAATGGAGCAAGATTCAGTCTCCCTCGGCTGGATATGCTTTTGAATGTTTTGGGAATATATATGATCCTTACACCCCCGACCCCCTTTCAAAGAACAATATATGCCTTCCACATCACATGAGGGCTTCTTAATATTGAGCAAGAGTGTACGTCATTCTTGTTAGGATTTAGAAAATCATTTGAGAAGGGGTCCCAAAGCATGAAAGTGGCATAAGATGACTGAGGAGTTCATAGGGCAGCTTCTGGGGGGCCCTTGAGCCTTCTTTACGGAAGTCCCATGAGAAAGGAATAGCTCCTGTGTGGTCTCAGGGACAGGCAAGCCTCTTCAGCATGTTACCTGCCCCATCTTAGGGCTCGAAGGTCAGCGGGCCTAGCTTTAGAGTCATATACAACTTTCTGACTCCTTTATTTGTCTACAAGCTCCCTGAGGATAATCAAGTGTTTCATTTACAAAGTAACACAAAGCAATTATTTTGCGTTTTTTTGTTTTTGTTTTTTTTTTTTAAATATAGAATCCTTCACTGATGCTTTCATGTTCTGGCTTTGGATCCAGTTTCAACTCTGCCTCTATCACCCATGACTCTGGCAAATCCTTTGCCATCTTGGCCTCATCGCCACATTTGTGTAATGAAGGGGTCCTGCTAGCTGCCCTCAAAGCCCATTCTAACTCAACAGTCCGTGATCCTCTGAAAAACCTGTCTAGTAGGAGGTTAAGAATGGTTTTGGGCAGAGTGGTTCTGGATATGAAAGACCACAGTGGAATTTGTTTTTCAGGAGTGAGGAGGCCATCTTCTTGGTTGCGCCCCAAGGAAGAGCCTTGGGGGTGAGTCACGACCATCAGTAGGGTCTAGAACCTTGCTATGTAAGTGTGGTCCCCAGTTCAGCTATATCTCAAGCCTTCCCCAGATCAACTGGGTCAGAATCTGCATTTTAGCAAGATCCCCAGAGGACTGGTGGGCACGTTAAGCCTTGGTCTACGGGGGGAAACAAGAGGGAGAGATGGTGGGTGTCTCATTCTACCATTTCCCTCTAGATTTCTCTGTGACACAAACCTTGGATATATGACTCCGTATCATTTAGTTGTAGGCTCTCATATTTTCTGTCAAAATCACTTCTAATATAGAAAGTGTTTTCCTCTTAAAATCCTGGTCATCAGTGTCCTCCCAACCATCGGGCGATGACCAGCAAGCTATAAAGAAACTACTTAGAGCTACATAGGTCTCCAGGCCTCTGGGCCTTATAATGAACGGCCGGAAATCACTAAGCTAGTGGATTGCAACCCTCGCTGCTTATTAGAATCACCTGGGAAGCTTTTATAACATACCTGTGTCTGGACCTCACCCCAGACCATTTAGACGAGAATCTCTGAGACTGAGGCTTTGGTGTTCTTTCTTCCCCACCAAAGGATTTTTCAGGTGGTTCTAATGTGCACTGAGGATTGAGAACCGCTTCTCTGAGATTTGAGTGACTGTTTATGAGGTGTGAACAAGATTTATAGAACTAAATAACCATGAAAATGTTAAAGGTATTCTTTCTACCATCAATTCTCATTGTAAACCTCCCCCAAGCATGCACCTGACTGCTTTCCCTCTGCCCTGATATGTAGGTGTTAAAACATCCATGCTAGTCACCTAGAAAGGAGTTTGTTCCGACAGCTGGGCCATATTTTAGATAATTAAGCCTGATGATCAAGTGAGCCCAGGAGTAAAGGGATGTTATGGCCTTTCTCCCAGGGGATGAAATTTTATCTGTAGATTAATGGAGAGTGTGGGAAGGATATTCCAAGTGGAATTGGGGGACTGATCATAGCCTTACCCACTGCATGGCTGGCTACTAGCTCTCTTTTCACACTTAACAGAATTTTCTTTATGTTTTAAACATTTTTCAAACTTCAAGGTGTGTATGAGGATCTCGTTAAAATGATTCTAATTCAGTAGGATTGGGTTGAGACTCGGCATTTCTAACAAGGTCCAAGGTGAGCCTGAGGCTGAAGGTCTGTTGAACCACCTCTGGGTAGCAAAGGCCCCTACTAACCCAATACACACACCACACAAATGCAAAAGACACCCATAGCCCTAACTCAAAATGCACCGAATAGTTGACCCTGACAAGCTGGGGGAGTGAGCAGCATGTAGGAGAATTGCAATGACACTGAACTAGAAATGAGGCATCCATTTGCCCTGATGAGTTAAAGTTTACCTAAGTTGTATCAGAAATATTTCTCAACCCTGGGATTTATTCCATACATTGGGTATTATGCTCACAGTGTGGCTGGTCCTACATATTGGCTTGTTTCTGGTTCTTCCACTTCAATTATTCTTCAGTTTAATTTGATTGCATTAGTTTGGCCTCAGAAAAATATTTCACATATCTCTTTATTCCTTCTAGAAAACCGGCTCATAATCTTCATGCTTCTAATATATATAAGCTGAGATAAATGATTAACTAGGTACTGCTTTCAGCTTCGACACTGAAAATTTCCTCTATACCATTTATCCGATAACTCTTGACCTAGATTTTCAATTTTAGGATATTTTATTTTTTTTCCAAGGAAGTATTCTTATACCCTTCAGATGAATACCCGCAAGTAGGATTTCTGGATCATATGCTAGTTGTATTTCCAATATTTATTTTTTTAATTATTAATAAATTTCTTTATTTTTTAGATTTATATATACATGTATTTTTAATTTCTGTATAATTAACATACAATGTTATATTGGGTTTCAGATGTACAATATAGTGATTCAATAATTGCATACATTACTCAGGGCTCATCGCAATAAGTGGACTCTTCATCTCCTTCACCTGTTTCGCCCATCCCCTTGCCCACCCCCTCCTCTAGTAATCATCAGTTTGTTCTCTATAGTTAAGAGTCTACCCTTTTGTCTCTTTATTTCTTTGTTTTGTTCCTTAAATTCCACATATAAATGTAATCACATGGCATTTGTCTTTCTCTAACTGCATATTTCACTTAGCATTGTACCCTCTAGTTCCATCCGTGTTGTTGCAAATGGCGAGATTTTATTCTTTTTTATGGCTGAGTAATATTCCATTGCATATACAGACCACATCTTCTTTATCCATTCATCTATCGATGGACATTTGGGCTGCTTCCATAATTTGACTATTGTAAATAATGCTGTAATAAACATTGGAGTGCATATATCTTTTCAAATTAGTGTTTTCTTATTCTTTGGGTAAATACCCAATAGTGTGATTCCTGGATCATATAGTAA